TAGCCTTGGAATGGGGTAATCTCCCCTCCCCCTAAACTTCTATGCAACCCAAAAAAAAAAAAAAAAAAAAAAAAAAAAAAAAGACCGAGCAAATGATAAAATTATCACCAATCCTCCTCAGTACGTAACCAATATTTCTATAGACCATTAGAAAAGGGCACATCCTTTCTTGTACGACCACCTATTCTTTTACGCATTAAGACTTTTATTAACTGACCCTTAGAATTAAATTGTTGACTTTGTCAATGACAAGCACGTTATGTAATGTCAGATTATATCAACATTTTTTTGTTTAGTAAAGGTGTGCCATCACTTTCCTTTTATTAAAAATGATCATTTTAGTCCTATTATACATTTAAATTATGACAACTATATATAATATAATATAGTCTTAATGCTAAATTAAATATTTATGAGAAACTTATGGGTTTACATGTGAATAGTTTTCGAATTGCAAAAGAGAAGAAATTCACCTTTTTGTCTCTGAGGGCCGTGACATGAATCCAATCTGCTTTAAATAGTAGTTGGACCGCAATCTGGTCCAATGCTTCTCAAATTCTGAGTTTCTGTCAAGTTTTAGCGTATGCATATCTTGTCTCTTTCCTTTTTTAATTATTTTGTCTAAAGTGCTCTTCCTACTTCTACCTACCTTGTATTAATACTTGTTTTTTCTTGGACGCCCAGTGCTTGTTTTTTATGTTGCTGCGTGGTTTGAGTAGTAATCCTTCCTTTTAATGGAAGTAAGGAATTTTGTTCGAATTTAGGGAAATTATAAAAAAAATATATATATAATATGAAGATGAATTTATTTAAAAATTACATTGGATCTTAATTTATTTAGAATTGAGTCGGATCTGATCCCATAAGAGAGAAAGTTCTCTTAGTACTTGTTTCTTTATTCATAAGATTCAAACTTAAAATCATATTTAAAGGAATCGAACTCTTTATACTAAACCTACTCAAACTAACATATTATTGATACAAATTTTATATACTATACTTATATAGAAAGTTAAATCCCCATTTTGATCCCTCTACTTTGATAAAAAGTCCATTGTTAGTTCCTATACTTTAAAAGCTCCTTTTTGGGCAATAAAGTTTGAAATTTGGCCCCCTTTTAGTCCCTTTGGTAAGTTTTGCAATGTGGCACATTAAATAATAGAAATTTCAAAATAATGAACTAAAAAGGGGTTAAAAAAAAGGGGCTAAAAATAACCCCATTTTGGTCCTTTACCTTGGGAAAAAAACTATTTTTTAGTCTCTCTACTTTGAAATTTCTATCATTTAACGTCAAACTTCACGAAGGGACTAAAAAAGGAGTCATATTTTAAACTTTAGAGATTAAAAATGGGTTTTTTTAAATAGAAGAACTAAAAATGGGTTTTTTTTATATCAAAATATAGGGATTAAATTGGGGTTTTAATCTATATAGAAACTTAACCATTTATTTCTCTATTTTTAATAGTTGAGTTAATCATGATTTTCTAAGTAAAAAAAATAATTATTTTTAATAAATATGAACAAATCTTAATTAACTATTAAAAGTAAAGAGATAAATGGTCAAAATTTTATATAAGTATAATGTATAAAACTATAAATAAATCCTTACTTATGTAACATTATGAGTTTATAAGATATTATTTATGAAATATTTCAGTAGTTAATTTAAATTTTTATGTTAGATATTTTATATTTGAATACTGAGATGGTGGAGACTAGAGTAAGAAAAACCTATTCTTGTTATATAATTTATCTTGTGATGCACAAAAAATTATAAATTTATAATATAATATATCATAATATAATTACTTTTTGGTTAAATGTTAAATTTGGTCCCTCAACTTTAATGAGTTGCACATTTTTGGTCCCTCAACAATTTTTTGCGCTTTTTTTATCCCATAACTATACGAAATGCACTCCGTTAGTCCTTTTGTCAATTTGAGCTGTTAACTCGGCCACATGGGATTTTTTATATTTTTTTTATGACATGGCGAGGACAACTTAAAAAGGTGCTAATCTAGACTTTTTTTGATGATATGTCATCTTCCTGCGCCAAAGCCCCTCCAATGGGTCCCACATTGCCTGCAAACCACTAATAAAGAAAGGTCTGTGAACCCTAGAATGGTCTCTCATCTTCACTCTCTGCAAAATCAATCTAACTCATATCTTCTTATTTTTTGAATGCTCTCTCATCTCCACTCCATCTGCAAAATCGATCTTAACCCATTTCTTCTTCTTCTCTGAATGCTCTCTCATCTCCACTCCATTTACAAAACTGATCTTAACCCATTTCTTCTTCTTCTCTTTTCTCGGGGGAACTTGAGAAATGGACCAAATGCAGGGAATTCGTGATGAGATTTGCTCGAGTTGGGTTGCCTCTACTACTAGTGGGGTGAGTCCTTACAAAATAATATGTCTATGAACCCTAGAATGCTCCAAAGAAGAATTTGGAATTCTCTGTCATTGAACCCAGCTACTGGGTTTCATTGAAGCCTCAAACCTAGTAAATCTTATCAAATCAAATTAACCTTTCAATAAACAATATCAATCAAACTTTAATCAAATTTCAACAAAAATACAATCAAACTCCAATCAAATTCCAATAAAAATGCAATCAAATTGTAAATCAACTCCCAAATTTATTAACAATTGGGAATGGAAATTGAAAGAAGAATGCAAAAACATGAACCCAGCGTCCAAATAGCAAGGCTGGTTTGTGTGACTAGCAAGGCTAGGTTCCGATGAACCCAGTCGATCTGGGTTTCGATGAACCCAGCAACGTTGGGTTTCGATGAACCCAGCAACGTTGGGTTTCGACGAAACCAATAAGGCTGGTTTGTGCGACCAACAAAGCTGGGTTCATTGGAACCTAGCCAATCTGGGTTTCGATGAACCCAACAAAGCTAGGTTCGACGAAACCCAACAGATCTGGGTTTTGTCGAACCCAACAAAGTTGGGTTCATCGGAACTCAGCCTTTTTGCACCGACCCAGGGTAGGAAAGAAAGAAAGAAGGGGAAGACATGGGATTGGGAGGGTAAGGGTAATAAG